TTTCTTATCCTGGGGAGGCCCAGGCCCAGCCGGGCTCCTGTAGCACCTGGCCTGATAGGTCCTCTCCTTTGAATTACTACTCCCTGTGGTTCTAGCTCTTTCCCTGTAGAATTACCCCTTCTGTCCCCTCTGCCGCGCATGCTCAACCCTGTCTTGCATTTTCCATTTCCAGGCAGATTATAAATATTTACTGTTTCCTTCCCTGTTCTGCCCTCATCCTGTGGATGTAGCTGAGCCAGCCTGGTGGAGCTTCCAGAGTTCATCTCATCCATCCTCTGGGTCTAAGCTGGCATGTGCCAAAGCCACCCTAGCACATGAGAGACTGTCCTACACCAGGGCTTAGCACATGTGCCTGGTGTTCAGTCAATGCTGGATGATGGGAGGGAGCAGGGAAGGAAAGGATTCCACACGTTTCCTGCAGATCCCACCTGCCTCTCCCCATGGCAATTCTTCTCATCCTCTGTTCTCTTACCCACAGTGGGCTGTAGGTAAGGCCACTTTCTCTTGGAGAGACTTCAATAGAGCTAAGTCACTCTCCTCACTCAAGATTTTGGACAAACTTGTTCTACCTGGGTCAGTCCCTGCCCTGAGTCTTCGTACCAGATACTGCCAGACAGACCCTGGTTTCTAATTATCTTAGAAACGTATCCTTCCTTTTGGAACCTCTCTCTATCCCCTGAGACTTTCATGTATACTGTAAAACCTTGTGGATGGAAAGGGACTATGTAATTCAATGGCTTAGTTATTTATTTCTGCTGGGTAGCAACCATTCCAAAACTTAGTAGCATTAAACAGCAACCCACACACTCGCTCACCACTCTGCAAATTCAGGCAAAGGATGGCTTTTCCCTAGTTTTCATACTGTTGGCAAGAGTTACTGACCAGGGACGGGAGAATCCCAGTTCCCAAAGACTTCACTCGCATGTGTGAAGCCTCAGCTTGGGGTGGTTAAAACAGCTGGAAGCTGCCTGAGACTTTCTCCCTGACCTCCTATCCTACCCTACAGCAAGTTGAACTTCCTGATAGTATGGCAGCTGCCTTCAGAGAGGGCAAAAAATACAAGCTACAACGCCCCCTATGGCCTAGGTTTGAAAGTCCCAGAACCTTTCTTCTGCCACATTCTTCATCAAAGCAAGTCACAGGCCAGCTCAAATTCAAAAAGGAGGAATAATAGAACTTATCTTCTGTGGGGAGGAGCAGCACTTGGGCCCAGCGATGGGAAGAACTGTTGGCAGCCATATTTGCACATGAGCCTCCTCAATGGTCCTAACACAGGAAACAGACCCAGAACCACCAAGTTCCACAGAGATCCATCCCCTCTTGCAGGAGGAGCTGTGGGAGGGAGGCAAGTGGGCAGGCAGATTCCCTGGAGAAGTAGCAACTTTAAGGACCTTTGAGGGCCGTGAGCAGGATGGCAAAGAGAAAGGGTCCCAGGCTGAGCAGAGCAGAGTTGAAGGCGGAGGAGGACTTGGATCTCAGTTAGGTCTTCTCTAGGCGTTGAGTGATCCTTGGGAAGGTTCCAGGGGGCGTCTGCCCAGGTCTTCCATAATTGGGGGAGGTAGCATTTTCCTTTTCTCCTCCTTTTCTCCCTGGTCTATTTCAAGACTGTGTCTCTCATCCAAGCCTGCATGTTGCAATCTCTAGTGTGCTTAGGTTTCCGATCTTCCACTGACAAGCCCCAGCCCCTGGAGACATCTTTAGCCTTGCCTTACTTTACCATGCATGGGGAAGTTGGATTTCAGCTCTAGGTTTGGCCACCACTAAATCCTCCCCCTGTCCCACTTTTCTCCTGCCTGTTTGTATTCAGTCTAGACAATTCATTTTTATTTGTTGATTGTCCTGCCCTAGCCTGGGGCAGCTGTGGTGTCGGTGGAAAGAGAGCACTAGAATCGGAGTCAGGAAAGCTGGTTTAAATTCTGGCTGGACCGTTTACTGGTTATGCGTTATTCATCCTCTCTGGGCCTCCTGCTTCCCGTCTGCCCAGCAATTATAATGAGCCCCCATCTCCAAGGTGGCTAAAATGAGACAGTACCTAGTACTGACAAACCGTCCCCTGCTCCCAACCCAACCAGCTGGCTCTATGCACTTCTGGTCATCAGGACTCTTCTTGACCCACAAGCCCACTACTGATCGCTCCTGGTATCTGCAGAAATCCTGTGCCATCTCCATAGTCTTGGGATGGAACCCTCAGTCTCTAGGCCTCAGTTTCAACAATGTCATGCATTTAACAAATGTTTGTGAAGCGTACACTATTCCAGGCATTGTTCTAGAAGTTGGAGAAACAGTGAATAAGGTCAACAAAACTTCTTGCCTCACAGAACTTGCTTTCTAGTGGAGACAGAAGAGACAGAAATTTTATTTATTTATTTTTTTAATAAGACAGTGTGGATTTTTTAACTTTTATTTTATTTATTTATATGCAGTGCTGAGAAGCGAACCCAGTGCCTCACACATGCTAGGCAAGCGCTCTGTGACTGAGCCACTACCCCAGCACCCCCCCAGAGAAAATTTTAAAGCTATGCTGTTCAGAATGGTAGCTGCTAGCCATGCATGTATAGCAAATTCTTGACACCTACCCACAGCCAACTATAATATATGATAGGTGCAAAATACATACAGATTCAAAAATTAGCGAAGAAAATTAAAATCTCTCATTAATAATTTTCATATAGATTAAATGTTGAAGTGATATCTTAGATAGGTTTGGGTTTTAAAAAACCCCATTACTTTACCTGTTTCATTTTCCCTTTAAAAATCTGACCCTTTAGAAAAATCTAAATTACATATGTATGGACTAAGGATAAGACTCAGTGATAGAACTCGTATTTAGCACGTGCAAAGCCCCAGGTTTAATGCTCAGCACTGTGAAAAAAACAAATAAAATACATGTGTAGCCTACATTCTACTGCTATTGGCCGGCACTGTCCTAGAGTAGGCTAGAAGGTGGCATTGCTATGGGGAAAATGAAGGGGTTGTAAAAAAGAGGGGCCCGCATGCAGAACTAGAAGGGGTGAACTGTAAATGCAGTGTTCAAGGTGAGCCAGACTGCGGTCAAGGTGAGCCAGACTGAGAAGCTAAGGAGACTTGAAGGCCAGGAAGCCACACACACACGTGCCATGAGTGGGAAGGGTTGGGCCAGGAAAGGGAAGCTGTTATAAAGACAGAGGAGGGAGCATGCCCACTGTGTCTGAGGACACAGAAGCCCATGTGGCAGGACCGAAATGACCAAGGTAGGTCTGAAGTCACTGAGTAGGCGGGAGGTAGTGGCCGTAGGACAGTGCAGGGTCTTTTGAGGGCATTTGATTTTTTCTCTTGAGTAAAACAGAATCACCAGAGGGTTTTGGAGCCCAAAAGTGACATGACTTAGCTCCTATTTGAACAAGCTCACTCTGACTGCTGTGTGAGAATTAATCAAAGGCAGGCCAGAGGAGAACCCGAGAGCCAGTTTTAAGGTTCCAGCAAAAGTCCCAGTGGGATGACAAGGGCATGTGGCTCACGGGACCTCGTGCAGATTTAGCATCAACTCAGTGGTACAGGACCCGGAAAGGCGGCTTCCTGGAGCAGGGCCATCAGTGGAGGAGTGAGACCTCACCTCCCGCCATCTTCCCATGTGGACCCAACTCTGAGCTCACTGCCAGTCACCTACACACCTCACAACAGGGGATCTCCCAAGAGGACAGCAACAACCTCCCCCTGGCCTCTCTGCCTTCCAAGCTGTTGCCAGGCACCACCAGAAAGCATCTCTAGCCAGGCACGTGGTGGTGCATGCCCGCAATCTCAGCAGCTCAGGAAGCTGAGGCAAGAGGATTGTGAGTTCAAGGCCAGCCTCAGCCAAAGCGAGGCACTAAGCAACTCAGTGAGACCCTGACTCTAAATAAAATACAAAATAGGGCTGGGGATGTGGCTCAGTGGTCAAATGTCCCTGAGTTCAATCCCTAGTACCCATCCCTACTCCCCCTAAAAAAGCATCTCCAGCTGCGATACTCCATTTAAAACCCTTTAAACGCTGTTCCTCCCTGACAGTCCTCTTGGCAGGGTGCTACAGGCTAAGCTAGCCCCTGCCCATCTCTCCAGCCTCCACCCCACAGCCACTCCCAGCCTGAGTCCCACCTCCAGGCCTTTGCTCCTGGGATGCCCTCCACCTGCTCCTCCCTGTTCTCTGGCTTCTAACGGTCCTTTAAGGGGTAGTCTAGGTCATGCCATGGGAAGACACCCCTTATCCCAATCCACCACCCATAAGCTAGATGAGGTGCCCCATCACATTCGATGCATCGTCCACGGCTTTATAGCTATCTCCCCACACACCAACCCTTGCTAGATCTTGGAGTATAAATGTCTGATGCACACAGCATCAAATTGGCCCAATATTTATCCAAACCATTGTGGTTTCAAAGAATAAATGAGAGGTTCAGGAAGTGGATCTGGAAGCACTTGTTCAGCAATGCCAAAGACCCAGGCAGGTATCCCCTTCCCCAGGACCAGGACACGAGGGAAGCGCTTATGCAGCAAGGGAAGAAAAGGAGTCCCCACGGTATCAACCAGCGCTCCAGAGCTCTTTCTGAGGGTCAGAAAACTCCAAGACATGTTACGTAAAACTAAATTAAAGAAATTATACCCTTCTCGCTCCCAGCAGGCTATAGACAACAAGACCCCACAGCCAAACACGGCCCATTCCTGTCTCCAGTGCAGCCGGGGTGGAGACAACCAGTTCCTTTCTTGACCGGGGCCAGGTGTCTGAGGAGCTCTTTTCATTGCAAGGGAGTTGAGCCCCCTCCACCCATTCCCAGAGCTCCCCACAAGACAGCAGGTGGACAGGGACCTCCAGGGCCAGCCCAGCCAGAAAGCAAGACTCTGGCCCCCAGCACAGGACATGGGTTTCCCCATATCGTACATCCCAGTGACCCCTTTCCTTAAGACAGACGCCGCCGTGTTCCCCAAGGGAGGAGGGTGGGAGGAAGTCTGAACAAGGATTCAATGGAGAAGGAGAGACCAAGAGGAGCTTTGAGATCAGAATTAAATTCTTTAATACAAAATGCTTTTTTTTTTTAAGATATATCTGTATTTCTTTGTTGTTTAAAAATAAATATGTACTACGGAATATCTCGAAAAACTGCACTAGAGACAAAGACGTGATGTTAATATCTTTTTCCCCCACAATTATTACGGATAAACAGTAGCACCAATAAATAAATGATAACAAATATTAAAATTAAAAAAGGAGAGAGATTTAGTATGTAGAATTCTCTATTTTTTCTTGTTTTGTTTTTACATATAAAAAACAGAATAGCAATGTCTATTTTATCAGAATCACATATATACATAAACATATATATATATATATATATATATATATATACACACAAACACAAGTTGCCAAATATATATATAGTATGTAAATGTATATTGAAACCTTATTTCAAAGGAATGTGTGGTAGGGAACTAGGGCACAGGGGAGGGCAGGACTGTGTTAGCAAAATTAAATATCTGTTCAGGACAAGCTAGTGACTGTCACCGATCAGGGAGAGAGATTGGAAACATGGATTTTACACACAAAAACCAATACAAAAAGAGCGAGAGAAAGAGCAAGAGATACATCTCATAAATAGTTGAAATTAAATATTATCCAAGAATACTGAAAAAAAACCCTACTCTTTTAATTAAATTAACTGTTTTAATTTCTAATTAAAAAGGGATATTAAATAAGTACCGTATATAAAAGACTTTCTCTTTCTCTGCCTCAGTGGTGGGCATGTGGATCCTGCCTGGTCTCTCTTAGCCTCAGGAAGGGACAGGTCAGGGGACAGGGGAAAGATTAACCACTCACACACACACACACACACACACACACACAGCCAGGTCTCCTGGGGACAGAACTAGTGGTTTCAATGGTCTGAGGACCTGAGGTCCTCGGCTGCACCCCGGAATGTGGGGTGAGGAGAGGATAAGGGGAATCCCAGGAGGAGGAGCGATCACCGGCCACTTCTTCCACCAATGTCTCTTCTCTTCTTGAGGACACCTCTCGCTTGAGGACACCTCTTGGTGGCCTCCTGGGTGACTCAGAAGCAGGTGAGAGTAGGTGAAGACTGCCCGGGCTCCTGCATCTTCAGGCAGTGCCCCCGGGGGACAGAATGCCCTTGCAGCATTGATGGGGAGCCACAAAGCACACCCAGTCCTGAGGCTCCCCAAACTCCTGGTCAGAACCAGTGTCCTTGTCCCTGTACCTGTCTTTAGGTTTTCTGTTGGTTTGACTCAAGGTAGAGGCTTGGGGCCAGGGCTGGGTTTGTCGGTGTCCCCAGAAATGAGCCAAATTTGCCCCCACACCCTGGCCCTGCAAGATCCTGGGCAAAGGAGAGGACCCTGGCTTCCCTAAGAGGGACCCCCCCAAAAAAAAAAAAAAACATGCCAGAGTCTCTTGTCCCTTCCTCTTCCCTGTCGGCATCTGGGTAGGGACATTCTCCTCCCAACTGAAGTCCACAGCAGTCAAATACATCCAGTGAAGACACCAATAACATTAGCAAAGTTAATTTAAAAACAGAATATATATATTTTATATATATAAAATATATATATTTATTTTCATATATATATAATATATATATATATATATATATATAAATGTATGTATGTGGGTGGGTGTGTCTACAGGAATCCCAGAAATAAAACTCTCTAATCTTCCGGGCTCGGTGATTTAGCAGCAAGAAAAATAAAATGACAAATCCAATTCCAAGTGGGACCGTGCTTGGTCACCCGCCCGGGAATGCTTCTGCCGGAGTCTCACCCTCCGGACCCAAAGTGCTCTGCGCAGAGTCCCCTCTTCCTTCATTTCAGGTTTCTGGATTAAGGACTTCTGTTGATGGCGACGGTGTGGTGGCGGCGTGGTTAGTCTCAGTCATTCTGTATCAGTCTTTGTTGGTGAGAGGTCTGGTTCCCGAAACTCTGAGGCAGGTTCCTTCCTCCAGCCTGGCTCACCGCCTTGGCTTGTCACATCTACGGGAAATCGCAAGACAAAGACTAGGTTAGGGCCAGGAGGGGTGGCCTGGGATGAGGCAAGCAGCTTCCCCGTTCCTGGGAGCCCTTGGGTCCCTGTGTTGTCGTAGGAGCTGATGACAGGGAACCTGCAGTCCTGGGACAGGAAGCCTCCTTGGGAGGGAGACACCCAGCCCCACCCTCGAGAAGCCCTAGTCCAAGCAGCAGCCATGCTCAAGACAAAGACATGGAAACACCGCACAAAACAACAAATGAGCAAGTACCAACAGACAGCCCCGCGTGACATTTCTTTCTTTCTTTCCTTTTTTTTTTTTTTTTTTGGCACTGGGGATTGAACCCAGGGCACTTTACCACTAAACTACATTCCCATTCCTCTTAAATCTTTTATTTTGAGACAGGGTCTTCCTAAATTGCTGAGGCTGGCCTCAAACTTGTAGTCCTCCTCCTGCCTCAGCCTCCCATGTCACTGGGATTACAGGTGAACACCAGGCTCTACTTGGCACTTCTATAGCCGATGGGTGACCAAGTTGGGCAAAGTTAGCCAGGAGGAGGTTTGTGCAGGAGATTTTTCAGTTCAGTCTCTTAGGGCTAGTTTGGGGCACAAGAATACCTTGAGCCAGGGAACCAAAGTGGCCAGAGAAAGGGAGCCTGCTCTGGGGACAGGAAGTCCCCAAGGGAGGGGAGTGGAAGGGCACGGGGCCCCAGGAAGCCAGGGAAACCCCTCCGACCCCATGCCCTGTCCCGGCCTTGGCTGCAGGCCTCTTCTCTCTGGAGCTGCAGGCCTAGGTGCAGGCTGCTTGTCCTTTCCAACAGGCTGGACAGAGACAGCTCAGTGGCTTTGCTTTTCTCACTGAAGCAGAGGGGACCACCAAGAACTTTCTCGTCGTGTCCCTGCCCTGCCTTGTCTTTTACTCTCCTCCCTGGGTGAAGAAGACAGAACACACGCTGCCCTGAAAAAGCCCCAGTATGGCTTAGGTCAAGTCCTAAGCCTCCAACCTTGGGAACCAAACTTCCCAGACACAGCCAGCTTGGGCATGGGGTAAGGTCACCTCACATATCTCCCTCCCAGACAGTTCCTCTGCAGAGGAATCACCAGGAAAACCCCCAAATGCCAAGTTCCTTAACTTCCTCAAGGCCTCCTGAAGAACTGAACCCCCTCATCCAGAGCCCCCATCCAGCACTAATATACTCTTCCTGCTTTCACACAGCACCAAGACACATGGAACTCCAGCCACGAAGGCCTGGTCCCCAGCACTGCCTGAGTACCCACCAGTCACAGAAGCAGACTGGAGAAGGAGCAGCGTACACTCCAAGGAGCCTCTGGACCAGCTGGGGAGTCTGGCCCCACCTAAGTCACCCCCCCAAAAAGCCCCCTAATCCCAGACCACTTGGGCATAAAGAACTCCAGCCCAGACATCAGACTGCCAGCCGTCCATCACAGCCCTGTGCTCCTGACTTCGCCACTGCTGAACTTGGCCAGGTCGCGTTCACTCATGCACTTGATGCTTCCTTAGTCCCCACCATGGACTTAATCCCCACATGTGTCCCAGGAAGATGTGGACACATATTGGGCCACAGGGCCCCAGACACCTGGGGATACCCCATGCTTCAGGAGGTCAGACTCATGTGAGGAGAGTGAGCACGGCCCCTCCCTCCACCCTTCCCAGGAGCATTTAGAAATGTGTAGGCTGTTTAGGGTCCTCGTGAATGGTGCAGGATTAAGGCATCCTTGGATCCTAAATCTCCTGCACTGTGTAAGAACTGCCCCATCCTAAACCACAACAGATCCCTCCAGGGGCCCCAGACTGAGCGGGAGAATCAATCCTGGCCCCATGGAGACACACTGGAGGAGAGGAGTTAGCCATGATGACTGGACCGGCAAGGCCTCACAACAATGCCTACACTTGGTTGCCATCGTTCCACACTGGAAGGGCTCTCCGTGTCTCGGCATTAGCACAACCTCAGCACTGATGGCCACCACAAGCAGCAGGACCACAGGACACAACACACAGCTTGCGTCCACACCACCACGTCAAGCCACACCAGCCTACCCATTCAGGCAGCCAGGGCAACCTCCAAGCAGGCCCCGCCAGGCAGGCCCCCGCGTCCTTGGCCCCACGGGTCCTTGACAGCAGAGGAGGCAGCAGTCGCCAGGCAGGCAGCTAGAAGCCCAGCCAGCATCTGGCCCCTCTCAAGCTCACGCGCTCGCTCTGTCTCTCTCTCTCTCCCCATGTCTGCGATGTGATGTCCCTCTCTGACTCGCTCGCTCACCCTCTGGGAACCAACCTGCAAGTACGTTCGTTTAACTCAAGCTGCCTCGCCTTGCAACGCGAGTCTGTGTTTTTGCAGGAACATTTACACGTCTGCGGATCTTGTACAAACAAATGTTTTCTCCTCTCTGAGCAAGGCCCACAGGGACTGCAAAAAGGCAAAAGGAAAGACATCTAAGCTAGAGCATCAGCAGAGAGAGAGAAAAAAACCCATGCAACACCCCCTGTCACGTCCGCAGCAGCACCCCTCCCGGCTCGCCGGCCCCGCGTCCTTCCACGTCCTGGAAGGATCTGAGCACTGCAGCAAAGACAGAGAGAGCGGCGGAAAGAGGCAGCACTGGCTAGGACGCCCGCCTGCAGGAAGAGGAGGGCACAGGCCGGCAGAAAGTGCAGGGAGAGGGCTGCCATATGGGGCGGGGCTGTGTCCCTGGAAGATGTGGACACGTATTGGGCCACAGGGCCCCAGTTGCAGCTGCCCTCCACAAAACACACCTTGACCCTTCACCTGCTGAAGACAGTGGGCAAGGGCTCAGACCCAGGCCCTTCCAAAGGTGGCTTGAATATAGGGCATGACGGGAAGTCAAGTTCAGAGGCACTGTCCAGGGGCTAGGCCACCATCAGCTACAGGGCCCACCACAGCCTCCAACCCAGAGGAAGTGGCCCTACAGGGAGACTTCCACATGTGGGTACCATGGGTTGGGCTAGAATTGAGGCCCCAAGTCCCTGAGAAGCCAAGGTACTTCTCCCAGACCAGAAAGGGCCACCATATGGTGCCTGATCCTCCCGAGCTCCTCCTTCAGCCCCCAACAAGCCACTTTCTGCCATCGCACCCCCTCCTCACATCGTCTCTGCCCTCCCCACCACCCTCAGCTTGCAGACATGTTCAGAAGCCTAGAGCAGTGGAAACCAGTTGGGTGAGCAGGCCCCAGTGCCCAGCCCCTGTGCCAACATGGGTCCACCACCAGTGCCCCATGGGTGAGAGAAAGTCGGTGCCCAGCCAAGCCAGAGGCCCCTCCGTGAATCCTCCAGGCCCACTTGGCCAACCCCCCACCCCATCCCTGGACCAGCAACACCACCACAAAGTCTACCCGTTGGTGCCAATTAGTGGAATGAGAGTGAGAGAGAGACACTGGGTCTGGGAGGGAGGGGCAAGAGCCAGGGAGGGGCCAAGGGACGAAAGCAGGGTTAGGGGTTACTGCAGGCAGGGGTTTGATTGGGGGCCAGGGGACTCCAGGGAGTTAGCAGCGGGCACCAACGTACACGCTCCAGGGCTTATACCGGGATTTCTTGCGCTTTCGTTTTTGCCCCTTTCCCTTTCCTGGAACTGATTTTCTGGAAAATAAAAAAACAGAGACAGACCAGAGAAAGAGCGAGCGGGGAGGGGAGAGCAAAGGAAGGAGCGAGGGGATCACGGGTGGGAAGGAGCGAGACAAAGCCAAACAGGCCCGCTCTCGGGAGCAGGCGCCAAGGAGGCATGCGACCTCAGGAAGGTGTGTAAGTGGCACTCCTATTTAGGGCCGCTTCCCCCATGGCTCCTCCTCCTCACTCTGCCCACCCTGGGGTGGCAATCTCAACCCCTGGCAAGGCATGGGGTAGGGAGCAGAGACTGGAGGGCACAGGATCCAGACATCTATAGGATCGTAGGGCTCCTGGTCTCAGGCAGGGCATCTGGCAGGTTCTCAGCTGCCCTGTACAAGTCTGATCCTGAAGGTCAGGCAGGGTATAAGAGCCAGGCCAGAGTTTGAGAGAAGGTCAGATTCCTGACCTGATGCAGAGTGAGGGGAAGGCCGTGTCCAGCACCGCCTGCCTTCCTCCCCAAATGCAATAGCAAGGGGGTCTCTCCAGGTGCTGTGCTTCTGGGAATCCTAGCAGGTGGCGGGCGGGGACATTACCTTAGGAGCTGGCACAAAATTCAGAGCAGCTCATGAAAGGCAATAGCCCGCTCAGTACCTGGGCTGGGAATGGGGCTGGGTGTCTAAAGAGGGGGCAGGAGGTGGCAGGGTCAGCGGGCAGGGAAGGAAGGCTGGGGGAGGGGCCTAGCAGTGCTTGGCAGGGAGTTCTCTCCCCAGCTGCACCATCTCGCCAGACTCTTCCGAGCCCAGGCGAGCCCCGGCTCTCCCTGTGGGCAAAGCAGGCGTTTGGGGAACGGGCAACGGGGACAGGCTACAGCTTGCCCCCCTCAAGGGAGCCAGCACTCTCCACTCCTGCTAACCCCAGAGAAAACATTCAGCATGTCTATCACAGGGGGAGAAGGGAGGGGCAGAAGGGATGGAGGAGAGGGCGAGTCTGTTCCCCTTGGGAGAAAGCACTGGAAGGATGGAAGAACAGTCTGCACGCTCGCTCCATGCTCTCACTCCCTCTCCCTGAGCCTATTCTCCCAAATCATTCTAGTGCAGCTGGGGACTTAGGGAAGAGGCAAGGGGTCAAGGCTTAGGAGAATTCCTGTCTGTCCCAGAGTGGCAGGGCAGACAGGAAGGTGGGGGGACAGGGCATGGGTGCTCTCTCTCAGTCTCTCCTCCCTGCATGCTCATTCCAATCAATGCCCACTGCCCTCCTCCAAAAGCTCACTGCTCCCAGACTTTGCCCCCAACCCCATCCTAACCCAACCCTCCATACTGGGCATCCGGAAGCCTCAGGAAATGGCTAACATGGCACTTTTCCTGCCCAGCCAAGAGGGCTTGTGTCTGCTGCCAGCCCCACTCCTGCAGGAAGGCATGTACTATGAAACCCCCCAGTGGCCCCAAATCCAACTGCACTGCCACAATAGCCACCAAAAGAAACTGCTGCCTCTGACACACAAAAGCTGGCGTGTCACCCACTCTCTCCCCTACTATGGATCCCAGGCAAGCCAGGAAGCCAGCATCCACACTGGCCTGAGACACCGAATCAGCAAGGACTACCCAGGAGAGACCTGGACACCTGACGGCACTGGTTTTGTTTTTTTTTGTTTGTTTGGTTTTTTTTCAAGAGAAACATCAAGTTCCAGGCTGGGTTTTCTCACTAACCCTGGAGCCACAAGCCTGGAACTGGCTCCATGTCCCTGCTTCCACCACAAGACCCCCAAGAAACCAACTCCCTGACCAGGGGAGGCTATCAGAGCCCCCAACTGAGGAAGCCAGAAGCCCCAAACCAAGACAACCGGCCAAAGAGCGGGAGAAGTGCTAAAGTCAAAACCACTTACTTTTCTTGCCTTGCTTTATCTTTCTTTGGTCTGCAATGGGAAGAGAAAGAGAAAAAGAAAAAACAAAAACAGAAGAGTTACAATGGTGCAGATAACAGTAGAGATTATAGTAGTAAAAACTTAACATTTATGATACAGCAACTGTGTTTCAATCCCTTCACATGTAATAACTCCTTTAATCCTTGCAACAACCCTAGGAGGTACGTTCAATTATGGTGCTCATTTTACAGATGTGGAAACTGAGGCACGCTGAAGTGAAATACCCAAGGCCACACAGCTGGAAGGTGGACATGGGTTAACAAGTACAATGTGCTTCACTCCGGTGGGGACCATGGCTGTTTGCTGGATAAATTAATGAATGAATGGGCACCTTGGTCCTCACCTGCATTCACACTTGCTGTGCTGTAGGAAGCTCATCTCTCCTATGTGTTGGCCTTGGTGAGGTTTGATCCGCATGATCTAGAGGGGAAGGAAGCAGATCATAGAGGTTAGTGACCCAGCCAGCCATACCCAGAGGGGCACCCCAGGGCTCCTGCCACTCAGCACCCAGGGGCTCTACAGAGCAGGGATGGGTGGTGGAGGCAGGGGGACCAAAGGCTCTAGTAGAAAAGAGCCTCCGGCCACCCCAACTCTCCCAACCCTGCTGGCCTCAAGGAGCCTCTCTTCCTCTTGAGGGCAGACGTGGCTGCAAGGGTTGGCTAGGCTGGGAATTCGGGTCCTGGGTTCTTATAGGTTCCCATCCCCTCTCCTCCTTTCATCCCTTCTAGGCCTCACCCTGATGCACCCCTAGCAGCTCCCTGAGAGCCACCTACCCCCAGTGTCTGAGTTCCCTCCCACTCGCAACCCAAAGGTACCAAGAGGTACACAGAGACCAGCTTTTAACTCTTCACAGACCAGGTTCACCCAGCTCCCCAACAAGGCCCCCAAGGAAGGAGGGCCCCCAGGCTCTCTCCAAGGGATAAAGAGAAGGGCTCTTATCAAAGGCAGCAGCCCCCTCCTGAGCCTCGGGAGCAAAGGCAGAGGAGGTGGTGGGAGTTTGGGGATTTGGGCTGGGAACCGAGGTAGATAAGACCCCACCACACCACACCTCCCCACCCCAACCCCAACTCAGGGGCAGGAGCCGGACAAGGCAAGTCTAGTTCCTCCTACTACAAGCTTCCAAGGAAAAGGCCCAAACCACCTGTTGCAAAAAGTAAGCCCCCGCCTCCTCCCCTCCCCCACCCCCACAGAGGCTCACCTGCATAGTGATGTTGAACTCCTGGGTGGGCACGCACTCCAGGCCCTCATCGTTACAGCAGCCCCCGCACCGCATCAAGGGCACACAGGATGGCTTGAAAATGAACTCGATCTCATCTGGATACTCCTGGAAGATGTCCACCAGGGTCTCTATTGGACGGCAGTAGCTGCGCTGGTAGACATCCAGGAACTTCACCACTGCATGGGATGGAGTGACACGTGAGCCCAGCAGGTGACTCGCCCAGCTCTGTAAGCCTCTCCTTGGGGCTTCCATGAGAGGTATTCACTATCAGGAAAGTCCTTCCAAAATCTAACTTAGATCCCTTCTCCTGAGTTGAAGCCCTTCCCTAAGCTGCCCACCATCGCTAGTGAAGTTTGTTTTCATTGTACTGATCACACAAGCTTTCAAGTTCCAGGGCAGATGGCCTGCCACATCTAAATCCCTGTCTCACCGTGACCACCAAGCAAATTCCTGAGCCAATGTTAATGCCAGAGGACAGTGTGAGTGTGGGTACACCTTTTGGGGGTGTGCTAAGCTTCACCTGAGAGGAAGAACAGCCGGCTTTGCCAAGCTGCTCTCCATTTTCCTATATCCTCCCAACAGATGGGGCCATAACAGACGAACCCTAACCATTTACTGACTCCTTGTCGGGCATCATTCATAGCTATCTAAACAGTGTTCCCCTATGATATTACTACTATGGGGGCCTCATCTTACAAATGGGGAGCTGGAGGCTCAGAGAGGCTATGTAACCTGCCACAAGGCCACACCGCTAATTAACAGGACAGTTAGAATGGGCCCCAGAGCCTTCCCAAGCCTATGCCATGCAAAAGAGAAGCTTCTGAAAGCACCTAGCCAGCTGCTGGTCCCCCCAAGAAATGGACTGAGGAAGTACCAGCAGGTGGCAGTGGGCCGGCACACCGTGAGGGCCCTGCCAGCCACTACTGACCCCGCCCAAGAGGGCAAACTGCTTGCATCATGGAAAAAGCGGTGCTGCTGCAGCCAGGGAGCATTTCTAGATGCTGATCTGGAGGGAGACCAGGATAAAGACAGTTTCCCAGGCTGACCACAGAGCCTGGGGTGCACTGGAGCATGAAGGGGTAATTTTGGGCCATAGGGGCGGGGCCCTTGAGAATAAATAAATGCAGGACTCCCGGCATGACTACTTCAAACTGTGGCCCAGCCTGCCACTCCCCATCACAGTTCCACTGCCACCACATAGCAAGCCTGCCCACGAAATGAGCTCCCCTACACGGGAAGGAAGAAGTAATACCAGCCAGCAAGGAGGCTTAGGCTTTGGCCATGACTTGAGGTGACCTTGGGCCTGTCCCTCCCCTCTCTGGGCCTCCAACTCTGCTCAACTGTGTAAGTGGGTTGGCCCGATCTCTAAAGACACTGAAACAGAGGCTGAAATGTGGGGAGTTGGCTTCCCATTTCCAGCACTGAGAACAACTACTCTTTTCTCACTCTGAGTGGAACAAAGTTTGGAACTTCACCAAGGCTTCTTAAGTGCACACCCCAATACACTACTGCCCCCCACCCAGGGACCAGAGCAGCCCCCCGCACACACACATACCTCTAAGGCTTGTTATTTTTTTTTCCAGAAGGGTAAAGGAAAATGAGACCCAGGGATATGTACACTGTAAGTTGGTTGGGGAGAACTTGGAGTATTGAGGAGAAGGTGGGGAGAAGGCCAGGGATATCAAAAGTGAAAGAACAGTGGGGGAGGGGGACCAAGACAGCCTCCTACCTTCCCTGGGATCTCTACTCATATCCAGACAGAATTCTTCTCTGTCCCCAAAGGATTAAGGGAAAGCATGGTCAAAAGAGAGTAAATGAAACCAGGGGTCTGAAAAAGTCATTTTTTAAGCCAAGTCTATACTGAAGAAGATGACTAATCTAGAATTTGTTAACTAATCCTTCATCATGCATGGGACAGAGGTGGCCCAGGCCTGAAGCCCCACCCAGGAGGAGACAGCAGACAGGTCCGGCCTGGGCAGTGGTGCTGATAGCTAAGGTACAGACCCAGGCTGGGCATGCCTTTGAACAGCTTCTCTTTATAATCCCCAAGGCCCATGCACAGGAGGTGAGAGGGCAGCTCCAGCACCCCTGCAGCCCAGTCCCTGCTGCAAGGAAGGCTGTCCTCTTTTGTCCGGGGTGTATGCACATGCTCTCCAACACCAGTCTTTCGTGGTTTTCCTTATTTATGGCAGACAACCTTTTCTCTAACAAACAAAGACCATTTGTCTTGCCTCTCCCAGACCACAGAGACCACTGGGAAGCTAAAGGGGGTGGGTGGTGCACTGGGAGTGGGGGCCTGTCGGTGGCATAGGACAGGGAGTGGCAGAAAGCCAGTCCCTGGGCCAAAGGAAAGGGCTCCTGGGGTGGGGAAGGAGGAGGCAGAACCGGCTGGGCATCACCACCCCTGGCGGCCACTGCAGCCACACTGGATTTGAGTCACAGAAACTCGCCCAGGAAGAAGACCCCAGGGCCTTCCCTCCTCAGAGGAGGGGAGCATGGGGAGTGGCATCAGGCTGGAGCAGAGGCCACACTCAGTGGTGGGGAGAGCCAGGGCGTCCCCAGAGAAATGGGAGGCTCCCCGTACTCCAAACCACAGTGGAACAAAAGGCAGGCAGACTCAGGGTTGGGCAGGGGGGCGGGGCGCCTGGGAGTTTCAGCCAGCCCTCTGCTGGCCTGGCAGGGAAGTTCACAGCACCCATACAGACCAGCAGGGCTTTCTCCACCCCTGAAGGAATGCCAACGGCAGCAGGGTAGCAGGGTGTCTATTAGCCTGGGCCCCTGGAACCTCCAGCTCACACAGGAAGGGCCACGGCCCCCACACATGGGCCCATGGCTGGGTAGGAAGTGACATGGAACATCCATCCTCCCCAGGAAAGGGGAGCACAAGGGACACCTCCCTTGATATCAGGAATCCCCAAACCGGCACTACCTTCCTGGTCCGTGCTTACAGCTCCTTCTGCAAATAAAATTTTACTAGAAGGAGCTGAAGACAAAAGCAACAAGTCTGACTTCCAGCACAGACCTGAACAGAGAAGGGACCTTAAGAAACCGAAGGGCTAACCTCATGGTACCCACCTCTGTCTTGCTTCTCATATTCCCGCCCCCCCCCCCCCCCCCCCCCCGCCCCAGGTCTGAAAAGGAGGATTTGGACCTTCCCTGCCTCCCGGGGACCCCATCCAAAAGCCAGAGGGACTCACCTTCATGGGGTTTCTGCTCTCCTTCTGCCATCGGTGCAGCCTGGGACCACTGAGAACAACACAAAACAGCAAGGCATTGGCATGGGCATAGGGAGGGGCAGGGGTGCAAAGGCCCAGCCACGGGGCCCCTCCCCCTCCCTCGCTTTCCTCCCAGTCCACAGCCTCTATCTTCTCCAAAGCTTCTGGGTGGAACAGGAATAGCTGGGGTCCCCACAGATCCAGAGCATGCCCACCACCCCTGGACTGCTCCAATTCTAAATCCATGTAAGTTAAAGACTAACCAGATGTTGGGGGCTGGGAAACTCACAATGCAGGAAGAAAACACCAAAATCCTGTGCTGTTCAGGCCTCTGTCCTTTCCCCACAGGGCCCTCGCCTCACTCTAGCTGCCCCCCTGATTCCCTGGTCCAAAGCCATGGGTAAGTATTAAGGTCAAATAGGAGGACAAATTTGGACTGGGGCAGGAAGGAAGGACTGGGGGCGAGAAAAACAACATGGTGACCTTCTCCTGCTGACATGACAAATACCAGGGTGAGCTGGTGTTGGAGAGGGAGGGGGGTGCAGAGGACCGAAGGGCACCAACCACCCTCCCCCAGCCAAACTCTTCTAGTCCTCAGGAAGATTCAGCATACCCACAGGTTGCTTAGAGTAGAAGCCTGAGAGGAAGTCTTGCAGGGGAGAAAGAGACCCATTTCCTTTCCGGCATCAGTCTCTCCAGAGCTGCATGTACTACTTCCAAAGCCCCACTAGCTTCCCACTCCCACCTACTCTCCAGGCCCCTCTGGCCTGGGTGCCTTCCTCAAATGCATCCAGGGAAGCCTTTTCTTCCTTAGCATTCCCAGGGGGTGCCTGGCTCTATCCCAGCCTAAGACCTCCTTGCACCCCCCACTCAAGAAGCTGTGAAGGTCAACAAGCCAGACAGTAGACCTGACAGCAGCTGGCAGGGGAGGCTTCTAGTCCTTCCTGAGGTCTCCAGTGCCTGACAACTCCTCACCCACCTGCCTGCTCCTCCTGTAGAGCAGGTCCCCAGCATCAGAGCTGCACTCAAGCCAGCTTGAAACTCCAGACCCCTCTGGGAGGGAATAACTAACTTCCTCCCTCCCTCTGTCTCTCTCTCACACACACATACACACACATCCCCAATGTACCCTAACCCAGGTTCCCCACACTTTCCTTCAGGGCCAAGGTCAGAGGAAGCCCCTCTGAAAGGCAGATAACAGTTTCCAGGCTCCCAGCTGGATAGCCTCCCACTGCAACCCCTTCAAGGACCCCCTAGATTCTGAACCACAGCCCCCTTAAAACCTCTGACATTCTCCCTAAGCTCTTGACTCCTCCTGAACCCCAATAATGAAAAGGAACAGAAACTTTAAACCCCCTCCAAGGCCAGGGGGCACAAGAGGGGAGGTTCTAGGCAGGGAGGGGCCAGGTGCCCTTCTCTGGGGGCCTCTGAAGGTCACTCTGTGGCCAGGCAGTCACTCCTCCCCCTCCTCCCCACTTGGAGGCCTGGAGCCAAGGCCTTTGTGCCAGGGTTTGAGGAACTCTGGGTGATGACAGGGACCCCTGCCCATTTCCTTCCTTTTGCCTCCTCTCCAAGGGGACACTCTCTGGCTGAGTGAAGGCGGAAGGGAGGAGCTGAAAAGGACCCCTTAAGTGGTTTTGAGAAGCAAATTGGGTGGGCAAGTTTGGAGTTCCAAAAAACCACCTGCTCCAAAGCCCAGATTTGCCAGGACAAAGTGGGTATGCAAGGCTGGCAGGAGCTTTTGCCCAAGGTGCAGGAAGGGCTAGTCCCACGCTGCCCATGTCACAGCAAATTTCAAACCATTTTTCCAAAAAGTAGAGTGGGATGATGATAGTCTTCAGACCCTCCCTGAGCCCACCCCATAAAAGCTAACGCACAGCTCACTTAGGACTGTTGGGGAAGGGAGGGAAGCAGCCGGTCACCAAGTCAGGACTTTGGACACAGTTTCCACAAAGCACCTGGGTGGGCTCTAGCACCCCGACTTCTGACAGTTACCCTTCTTTCCCTGGACTCTGGGGCCAGAAAGGGTCAGATGGGTCCTCAGTAAAGAGAAGTGAAAAATAAATGGGTGGTGCGGGTTTCTCTCCACACTAGGGAGGACAGGAGGAAAGGGGGAAGGGGCGTCAGAAATTTCCCCCAGCACAGGACAAGCGTAGGGGCCAGGGACTATAGAAAGGGGTATGGATGGTTCTCTGAGTCCCCGGACTGGGGCTACCTCGAGAGGTCACCTTCCCGCGGAGGGCCGGCGGGGGGAGGGGCTCGCTCGCTGCCCGGGGCTCCCGGCTCCAGCAGCCGTGGCTCCGGGAACACGAGGCCGGCCAGGCCCGGGCTGATGTAATCGGCTCCGCGCCGCGCGCGCCCGGTCGGGCGGGGGAGGGCGGGCACCGAGCGGGACGCGAGCAAGGACGGGCGGGAGTGGCGCCGCGCAGGTGGCCCAGCAGGCTGGGGGGTCCCCGCAACAATCCATCCCAAAACTTTTCCCAAACTCGAAGCGAGGGCCGTAGAGACGGAGTGGCAGTGACAGCAAGCCCCCTGTCTCGCCTGCGCCCTGCCCCCTCCATGCTCTCTGCCCTCCCGCGGTCCAAGGTCCGAGCACCCCCCTACCCGCTGTGCTCTGGCTCCCGCCCCCGCTGCCCGGACTTCCAGTTCGTCGGGAACCCGCGGCCGGGAGCAAACTTCAGCAGCCAGCCGCAGCGCAAGCCCAGCCCCCTCGGCCTCCTTCTCTGGCTCCCGCCCTCCGCTGTTCGGCCCAGATCGTACGTGCGGTGACTCTGGTGGGTGGGCAGGGCCCGCGTGGGCGGTGAGACTATCCTGGCGCCCTCCCACCTAGCACTCGCCCGCCTCCCCCTACACGTACGACGACAGAGGGGGACGCCTCGCGCCTGGTGCCCAAGGACCCGCGTGGGTCACGAAGCCCCCACGCGCGCGCTCGCACGCACGTCCCCAGCCGGGAGAGGCGCTCGCAGCAGCCCGCGGCAGCCGGCGGGCACAGTCGCTTACCTTGGCATGGTGGAGGTAGAGCAGCAAGGCAAGGCTCCAATGCACCCAAGAGAGCAGAAAGTTCATGGTTTCGGAGGCCCGGCCGGGGCCGGCTCTGCTCACGCTCCCTCTCCGGCTCGGGCTGCGGGGCGGCCCGCTCTCCTCTGCGCCTTGGCGGGCTCCTTTTCCTCCTGGAGCCAAGGCCCGCGCCAGGGCCTGGGACGCGCGCGCGGCTGTAACCCTGTCTGCGCACAACGCCGCCTCACCCGTCCATGAGCCCGGCTTCCGAGAGCCGAGTGGCCACCGCGGCCCCCTCTCCTCTTCCTTCTCTTCTTCCTCCTCCCCCTCCTTTGGCCGCGGCTTCTCCCGGCCGGAGCTAGCACTTCTCCCGGCTCCGCTCAGCTCGACTCCCCCGGCGCGGACCACGGCTCCTCCGGAGCGAGAACAGCCCAGAAGTTGGTCGAAAAGTTTCAGTGCAATGCCGCGAACCCCGAACCCCTCCACCCCGCCTCCGGGAGCGGGCTCTGGGTCCTGCCCGCGGCTCGCCGCCGCGTCCACTGTCGGCCGCCTGCCTGGGAGGAGGTGGGCGCTGGGGCTGGAGGCGGTGTCTGTCTGTCGGTCAGCGCTACTGGTCTGATGCGGGATCCCGAGGGGGAGGGCTCACGCTGCGCTCTGGCGGTCACCCCAAAAAGCAGGTCACTCACTTTGCCCCTGTCCCTCTAGCTGCTCGCTTGCTCGCGCGCTCTCTGACCCCGTCTCTCTTCCTCGACTTCACTCTGGAGCTCTCGCTACCTCTTTTCTCTCTCTTCTGGTTTCCAAAATCCGAAGTGATTTGGGGGAGTAAAGAAGCAGTCTTCCCCAAACCGTCGTTCCGATTTAAGTGGAGAACGGGAAGCAAAAATAAATTAAAATGGGAAACAATAGTTTAAAAAATGTTTAAGAAAAAAAGAGGGTGGTGAACCCTGGATAAATGAATATCAAATTCCAGCGCAGAGACCCCTGGCCGGTGAGTGCTCTGGACAGTCCGCCTCGCTGCTGCGTCTCGCGACAGAGCTCCGCTGCCGCCAGCTCGGCTCGCCCTCAGCGCCGCGGCCTCCTCGCAGCCCGGCTGCCCCAAGCCTCTGCGCTCTTTCCTCTACCAGCCGACTGGAAAAAAAAGGGCTTGGCCCCGCCCCACCAAAGACCCGCCTCCAGACCCGCCCCGGGGCGGGGCAAGGCCGAGCCTCTGTCCCTCAGGCTAGGCACCGCCTTCCCCAGGGACATCTAGTGAAGTCTGGGCCCCTAGCCCACCACCGTGAAGGGAAAGCTCGACCCCCACTAGAGTTCACAGCCTGAAAATTATCCATGTGCCCTCCACACACAACTCTGCCTAGACACACATACACGCCTGCGGGATGTTGAGGGGGGAGAAAAACAGGAAAGTGAGGTTATGTGCGGACAGGCCCTGAGAGCAATCCTTTGCTGGGACTATTAGAGGGGGAGGGTGGGAAGCTGGACAGGGACGAGTAGGGAGATAGGCACAGGTCTATTGGAATCCTGAAGTGACTCCTGGCCTTCTTCCCTTACACACACACACACACACACACACGCACATTTTCGCTCTCTCTCTTTCTCTGCACGCCCCCCACCTCACTCATTGACATACGCATCCTCACGCAGACTAGGCTCGCCCAAGTTCACGAGTTCCCTGTGGTGGCCGAGCGCCCCCTAGTGACTGACGTCTGCACACCCCAGCTCTAGCTCAAGGGAATGGGTCTTGGAAGAAGGATAGAAGGCATTTACTCCTGGACATCCCCCTCCCCCAACTCCTTTCTGACCTCCCAAACTGTTGCGTGTTTGGGACTGGAATGCCCTCGTGGGCAAAAAACCCAGTACTGTGTGCAGCGGGGAACAATGTACTTATCTGGAGTCCCTATCTGACCTGAGGACATTAGAGGGATCTAGAGCCCTGGGGTGAATGGGGTCCTTAGAGGTGTCCACGGAAGTTGCCCTGGGGAGAATTTGGCACAAAACGTGTAACTTTGAAAAGGACAATCTTTGTGGTTCTGGGGTTAGTCAGTGGCCTAGAGGGAAGAGGACCTGTTGGAGCCCACGTATGCACTGTGGAGTCTGGCAGAGCCCAAAGGGAGAGGCAGCTGGGCAGACAGAGGCCCTTGTTCCTCCTGCACACACACCCCCCACAGATGTTGCCAAGGAACTGAGGCCAGGGGGCTGATGGGGGCGGATGAAGGCCAGGGTTTGAGTGATGATTCAAACCTACCCCCCAGTACTCAGAAACGTCCTAGGCCAGTTGCCCAGAGCTCCCACCAGGCTGGGGGCCAAACCCCAGCCCAGGCTCACAGCTCATCTTCTGAATAGTATTGGGGAGTCTACTTAGCCCCCCATTCCCTCCAGATCCCTTGGCTATTAATCCAGGCTTGCAGACTCTCCCCTCTCTTCCTCCTCTGTCCCCTTTCTATCCTCAAAGCCCCCTTCTCCCCCAACTCCCCACATCTTCCCTAAGTGCTCCCCAAGGCCCCCTACCCCACCCTTGGATATAGGAACCAGCCTGGAAAAATTCCTGGTTGGGCTTTGGCCCAGCTGTTCCCAGGCTCCCCCAAGGGAGCAGAGAGGGGGCTCTGATACCTGTGGGAAGAAAGGGACCAACCAGTTTCATTACCCACCCAGATCTGGGTCTGGCCTGGGGCTGAGGTAGCCTCTGTGAGGGCCTGGGCTGAGAAGGGAAATGCAGCAATTTCCCCCAGTTTGCCCAAAACATCCAATATTACTTTGCCAGCCTACTCCCTCTGCACAAAGTGCTGTGATTTGATGGGGGTGATAGGTCATCTCTTGGGTACCCTAATTCTGCTGGAGTGGTGTCCTGAGGGCCCTAGAGGAGAGGAATTGGCTTCCACTCACTCCATCTTGCCTTTTCTATCATTCATGCTCTGGTCCTGTCTCCACCTCCTGGCCGGCTCTCCAGCAGCAAGGACAAGGTCTTTTTACAGTTTGTAAATGTTTATTTGCTGGCTCAGGGCCCCTTCCAAGCACAGGCCTCCTCACCTTGGTCCATGTTCCAAGCTGCTGAGTGAAATATGTAAGGGAAGCCACTAAACATCCTCCCTGTCTGCCCCTTGCCCCCGAGGATCACAAATGTGAACACTTTGGCAGAGCACCCTCCCGCATCCCTACCCTGGGCAGGGCAGAGGCTCCAGATACTGAGGGCTCACTATGGCCTCCTCCCCTGCATCCCTCTCATCTCAACCTTCTTCAGTCCATAGAGAAGCAGTGAGCATTAAAAGGAGGTCTCAGCAAAAGACCCTGAAGTTATGCCAAGTGCAGTGGCGCATGCCTATAATCCCAGAGGCACAGGAAGCTGAGGCAGGAGGATCCTGAGTTCAAAACCAGCCTTAACAAGACCCTCACTCTAAATAAAATAATTAAAAGGGCTGAGGATGTGGCTCAGAGATTAAGTGCTCCTGAGTTCAATCCCCGCTACCAAAAAAAAAAAAAAAAAAAAAGACCCTAAAGTTGGAAGGAGGCTGGAGGAGTTCTAAGGAAAGTTAGCCATTAACCATCACTTTGCACCCAGCCCCCCACAACCTGAGCCTGCCATGCCCTGTGGGATATACTGCAAGGAGTGTTAAAACCTCCTATTCCTATTCCAGGATCACCCTGTGGGCCCAGGGCAATGACTATGCACAATTCCCTTTAGATAGAGCTAGGGTTGCAATCTGGCCTGAGGGGGTTTGAGCAACCTCTACTAGGGAGGGGAGGGGCCTCCCACCTCCACTCTGCTTTTTGGAGACAACCTGATGGTGAGTCAGAGGAGGACCCAACTCTGGATCCCATGTCCCAATGTGGTGTCACTAGCTTTCACAGGGATACACATAACATGGACCCAGCCAATGTCCATATTGTCATCGAATTAAAAGTTCAAGTCACTTGGGTCTTTAAAAAGGGAGGAGAGAGGCAAAGTAATCTTAAGACTCATGAGACTGTCTCCTCAAGCAGTGACTCTTCTAGAACTGAACAAGCTTCATTCCACTCATTCTCCCTCCCCAGGTCACAGCAGAACAAGGGGCATCAGGGTAGACTATCTTCCCAGAGAATCTCCCACAGGCCCAGAAATGGAACAAGGGGCTCAAGGTCACCCTGCAAATTGGGGGAGAGTGGATTCCAGAGCAGCTCAGACAGAGATCATGGGGGCTCCCAGTGGAGGGGCAAAGGCAGCCCCACCTGAAGACCCCATGGGTGGCCAGGCCTGTGACTCCGGAGGCAGTTCAGAAGGCACCTAGAAGGAAGGGGAAGGTGTTCGTGGAGATGGGGAAGGGGAAGGAGGGACAGAGTGGGGGTGGAAAGTCAGCCGGGAGCCAGCAGTAGCTCCAGACAAAGGAAGGAGTGATCAGCTCAAAGCCCTATAGTTGTACTTTGTCCTGAAGTCCTGTCACCTCTCCTGACACCTCCAATGTTCAGGGAAGCTCTCACTACATGGATGTGGGCAGTTAATCTGGAAACCTATGGAGGAACAGACAGAGGACCTCCTGGGGGTGAAGAGGAGGGGGTCATTGAGTCTTGCTATTGTGTACCCATTTTTCCAAGTGGTTTACGATGATGGAAGTTCTTCCCTTCCACTCCATCCTCTGACCCCCAGACGCCTCGCCAGTCCACTGATCTGCAGGAAGGTCAGCAATCCAAACCTGCTGAATTGAAGGGAGGACTAGGTTTTTTTCTCCCCCACCCCTTCCCTGTCTTTGGTTGTAGGTCACCCCCACCCAGCTTCCTCCTCCCCCATCTCTGTCACTAGGTGTTCCTCAAACACTAGTTCTTTGCAACAAAGCAACAGAAGACAAAGGAAAAGCAGAGGAGGAGGGTCTCCCTGCCAATGTCATGGCCCCATGTGGACCTGAAGGATTGACTGGGGTTCATGAGAGGGAATGACTGTCAGTTGGTAAAGAGATTGCAGCAGAGGAAGCAAAGCGGGTAACCTCCCCCGAAGGATCCAGTCAGAAAAGCGGGGAGCCAGCCGGAGAGGGCAGGGAAGCAACAAGCCTCCATCTCTCCTTCACGAGCCTCCATTTAACCCCCTAGCAGTAGGGTGTCTCCAATGGATTGCTTCTCCCCAACAGCCCCAGGCATAACCACTTCCTGACACCACAATCTTTGCTGCCCCTCTACGTCTGACCCTCATCTTGTCCATTGCTGCCCCTGTTCACATCCACCACCCCACCCAGTGTTGAAGACAGTCTCTCTGCTGGGAAGGTGGCCCATGGTTTCTGCTAAGGTCTCCAAGCTGTGCCCTCCCTCCTGACTTGACTGACCGCTCGCTGCCTAGGAGCTGAGCTTCATTTCAATGTGTGAATATTACTGGAGGTCTACCAGGCACCAGCCTCTGTGCCGACACTATAAGAGATACGGGGACACCTAAGTAAGGCAGTGGAAAGCATAGGGGCTCTGAAGCCAAACACAACCAAGTCGCCCTCCTGGCTTTGTCACTCTGTGTGACCTTTATGCAGGTTACTCAACCTCTCTGAGCCACAGAGTGAAAACACCTTATCTGTAAAATAGGAGTGAAAACACCTGTCTTGGAAATTCCTGCACACGGAAAAATGTATACACAGCGCCCCTAAAAGGCAAGATGGGGAAAGGGCTCTGGAGGAGGCACAAAGTGTGTTCCAAAGGTATGGAAGGAAAGCAACCAAACTGGCCGGAGTGGACATCAGGAAGGGCTTCCTGCGGGTGGTGGCATACAATATTGATTCCATGAGTGATTATTAAATTTATCCTGCAAGCCCTGTTTGGGGCTGGGTCCTGGGGCTTCCACAGTGCAGAAGAAGCTCCTTGTCTGGAAGGAACCAGAAGAACTGAGAATAGGAATTCTCTGGTGGGGGCTCCTCTCAGTAAGAATTCTCTGATGGGCTCTCATAACTGCTGAGTAAGCAATGGCTTCCTGGAGAAGGTGACACTTGAGTTGGATTGTATTTTTTTAATTTTTTTTATTTTAGTTGTACATTGACATAATTATTTTATTTATTTATTTATTTATTTATGTGGTGCTGAGACTCGAACCCAGTGCCTCACACGTGCTAGGCAAGTGCTCTACCACTGAGCCACAATCCCAGCTCTTGAGGGGGATTTTGATGGAAG